AATTGACATAGTAAACAACCAGAAAATTGGCAAAATTTAGGATGCCACCATGTATATAAAAGAGAAAAATTACTCTATATGTATAACTAAAACTTATCTACTTTTCCAAACTATGACTTCATACGTTTCCCCCCAAAAAAATTCGATTCGTAATGTTTAATAAATAAATAAATAATTTTGTAAGGACTAATATGCCCTTAAATTGATATTATAAAATCCTAAATTCCTACTTATTTTCTAAAAACCCTAGAATTGGCTCGTCCCGTTTTATAAAATCCTAAATTCCTACTTATTTTCTAAAAACCCTAGAATTAGCTCGTCCCCGCAGCACCCACTGCCCCGCCGCCGCACTCATGCATGCGCACTCACCGCACAAGGTTGGAGACGAATCCTAGGTTAAAGACGATCGAAGACAACATGCAGTGAATTCTAGTTAGCTAGGATAGTGAGTAGTGAATGCAGTGAATAATTTGCATTTAATGCAGTGAATATGAAAAGAAGTGTAGTGATTAGGACAATAATTGCAATGATATGTCAAGAAATGCTGTGTTATTTTTCATCTCATTGTTGTGTTATTTTTTTCTGGTTGTTGTTTGTTTTTGAAGAGGAATGCCTCTTCTGGAGAGGTTTTGGTTTGGTCCCCCTCTTTTCTTTTTGATTGTTTGCCTTTCGAGTTAAAAAATGTTCCTCGACATTTGCCCCAGTGATTTTGATGGTTTGCCTTTCGAGTTAAAAAAATAGTCAAGAAATGCAGTGGTTATGACAAGTAGTGCAATAATGTAGTGCATTAATATTTAAATAATGTGTGCACTTATTAAAAAAGAAAAATTAAAGAACGATGAACTCATAACATTTTTATAATGTTGTGCCATAACTCCGGCATGAAATGTAGAAACGTCGCCCTGAAGTTAATGGCGACAAACATTGGATAATTTTAATTGTTATATTTATGTACTACCACTGTCTCAAAAAACTTTGCCATTTCATAAAATTTGAATCATGATTTTGATTTGTACTTGTATAATATTATGGAAGTTATTAAAGTTATACTTTTATGAAAGTACTTTTAACAAAGAACAGTTTCATATAATTTTTATATTACAAATAATTTCTAATAAAAAGATATAGTTGGTCAAAGTTTTGAAAATGGCAAAGTTTTTTGGCACGGAGGTAGTATGATTTATAAATTTTATTCTTTATATATGAATTTATGAAAATATTTGGAATAAGGAACATTTTGATATAGTTTTCATATTTAAAATAGTTTCGTATTAAAGAATATCATTGGTCAAAATTTATTATCATGGACCAAGAAAATGCAATTTGATGAACCTTTTCGGAGCGTATTGTTTAATTAAACGTGAAAGCAAAGTTATCAAATCTAAAAAAGGAAAAAAAGAACCATAACACTTTCGTAACACTTTAAAAAAACATTTTTGTAATGTCGTGTAGTAATAACGCTGACAAAAAGTGCAGTAAATATTGTGCAGTAAATGTTATGCTGTAACGCCTTGATAAAGCACATTATATTTTGACGAATGTAGTGCAAAATGTACGTTTTTTATAGGGTTATTTTCGTGCTTCAACATTTTAATATGATGAAAAAATCTTTTTTTTTCTATTTTTAATCATACGAATACCTAAAAACAAAGCTAATAATCATATTTTAGAAAACATGATATGTTTTAGTCATATCCCAAGAAATTTGCCTAAATAGAATTTGCCTCTATCGAATCTTCATGGGTTAATTATCCTAAAACATTAAAGAAGATCCCAAATAGGAGTTTAATGTTTGATAGGAGTAAAAAGTATATGGTTTAATCAAGTTACTCTGAATGAAATACTAGGTATATTTATATTAAAAAACATAAAAATAAATTACACTCTTTTCAAACCCTAGTACAGACATAACTACTGCCACATCTATCAAGGTTGCTGCCACCATACGCCGTTGCCGCCCTTCCACACCGTCGCAGCTGCCGCCGCTCTCCACCTTTCCACATTGTCTAAAGTTTGCAATCATTAACCAAGAAAAGTTAATATGACGAACTTTTCTATGACAGAGGTTGTATGAGATAGTAGCTAGATACAATGATATATGTACAAATCAGGACAAAAATAAATCAAAACTGATTCAACAAGTTTGTCAAAAACTTAATTAGAGTAAATTAGCTTAAAGTTAGCTATAAAAGACAAAAAAACTAAAAGTTTGTTAAGAAGCAGACAAAAAGAATTTGAGAGCGCGTAAATTAATATAAAAAGACAACGTATTCACCAAGCACACAAAAGAAACTAATCGTGATGACGACAAAAAAGAAGTCAAGAAAGGTACTTTTTCTTCATTTCAAACCTCATTAATTATGTGGAAGTTTGATGGAGGCAGGATGGCATGTGGAGGAAGTCGAACGACCTTTTTCTTCTTTTGCTTTCTTATTTTTATTTTTTATTCGCATTCAAAAGAAGGTTTTTCAAAAGTTTTACAAAAAAAATTATTTACAAGAGTATGAGTAAATTGAATTTTAATTTAAATAATTTTGAAATGTAATTCCTTGCCAACTTTAGATAGTTGTTGGAACATTGTTTACATTTCGAATAGTTTAAATGACTAGAATTTACTTCTCTGAATGATTTGAGTGGGTTTCTTGGATTCCAAAATTAGTCTCATGCAACCGGGATGATGTACGGCAGTGGCCGATCTCTCTTATTAGGGGTGTTCATGTGAACACCCAAAAATAAAAAAAACGATGTGAATATATTTATCTTGATTAGAGTAATAATTTTAATTTATTAGTATTTTAAAGAGAAAATTTGTAATTTTGAACATCCAAAATATAATTGTTAGGTCTGCCACTAATGTACCGGCAACAAAAAAATTGCATAGCTATACCAAAAGAAAGAGAATAGGGCATGTCTAAGATTATATTGTTCACCTTTTGGATTCCTTGGAAGAGATCGACGCGATTTTCCTTTTTGTTTTTTCCTCTTTTATACTCCATTTGTCCCTTGAAACTTTGACAAGTTTGACCGGTACGTAGATTAATAAAATAAAAATTGTGTAGTTGAGGTATGCGATGAAGATAGAGAATTAACTAGAATCACATATCTTTTACTTAAAGGGAAAAAAGGCAAAGTTAATGGAGCATTCAAAGTTGAAAAGTTGACAAAGTTTTAAGGAAATACTCTCTCCGTCCCGTAAAGAAGTTTCTAGTTTGACCTACACACATATTTATGTAAGGTAGAGTTTTGTTTTGACTTTCCAAGTATACCCTTACTCAGTGGCGGACCCAGGAAGTCGGAGCCACGGGGTCCCTACCCTTACATATCTTTGATCTCTAATTAATTAAAAAAATATTAAAGAAGCATAACCCTTGTTCAGATTGTTTCACAAAACATGCTCCAATACTTTGTTTTTGGTTCATCAAATCTTCCAATCTTTTCACCGCATTGTAATGAGGACTGTTAGGTTTACCAACATGTAAATAGAATCTATCTTTTTTATTCCATGCTGAAAACCCAATTCCCATAAAATGATCACCCCCAACTTCCCACTCATTCTTAAACAAATAACATGGCAAACAAAATGAAGCATCTTTAGCAATACTGTATTCCAACCATTTATGCTCATCAAACCAACTTGAAACAAATCTACATTTTTTGCCTCCAATTAACTTAAAAGGGAAATCATGGTCCCGAGGTTGAAACGGTCCTTTTTGAATGTAACTACGACGTACCTCGTCTTGAACATTAGGGTGAAAATCAGGAATTCTTTTTCTCAATCCAGGATCAGCTTCCAAAGATTCAAAATCGTCATGTTGTTTAGGTAGATTATAAGCCAAATTAGCTTCACTTTCAGCAATTACTTGATCCAATTCTTCATTTACTAATGGCGGATCATTTGAATTAACACCCGAACTACTCCCGGTACTTTGAGTTTCTTTAAATTTGGGTACAACATCAAAATATCTTTTCATCCTAAATCGTATAAAATTGAAAATAACATTTATAAATACATGAATTTATTATTTTAATCTAACATTAAAAAAAGATATGCAAAGAAAAGCAATTAAAAGCAATTTAAACATAGAAATTGAAATTTGAAATCCCTAATTTTTGAGCATATAGAAAATCCAACAAAAAGCTTGAGATTTGAGAAACTCCATTATTGGAGAAAAGAAAGTACCTTGGGCAGTTGGGCTTCGGTAGTTCGGACTTCGGCCGCAGGGGACGCAGGCGGCAGGTCGGCAGGGAGAGGGAGGCCGCAGGGGACGCAGCCATGCAGGGAGCTTCGGGCTTCGGCCGCTTCGCAAATCACAAAATTGGCGGTCAGCGACTTGGGGCCAGTTGGGGCTGCCGGCTGCGTGAAAGTCTAAAAGCAAGGAGAAGGGCTGAGGGGGCTGCCGCGGGCGGGGAGCTCGCCGCTGGTTGCGTGAAAGGAAAAGGGTTGCTGGGTTGGGTCTTTTGTTTTGGGTTTAAGTTGGGATGTGGCTTTCCTTAAAGACAAAAAAAAAAGGCCCAAAAAAATAATAATTCAGAGATGAGATTCAAACCTGATACCTCACGTAATGTATACCTTGCTTCCAGATGTGTTCCCGTTCGGCTGTAACATCTTTATTGTTTTTAAGTTGTTTTGTGTTTATATATACATTGAATAAGTAATTTTAAATAATATATACGATAGTATATAATATATATAGGTTTTTTCCCGAGGTCCACGGGGTCCCGGGACCCCTTGGGACCCTTAGTGGGTCCGCCACTTCCCTTACTTTATGTCAAATCAAACAAAAAATGGGTAAAAAGTAAGTGTAGTTATGACTTTTTGGTTAAAAGTGATTTCCTTTTGTAGAAATGAGAACTTCTTTTTGAGACATTCATAAAAGGAAAGTGGAAATTTCTGTAAGGGACGGAGGTAGCGGTTGATGTGGAGCCGTAGGTAGCTACCTAGCTTGTTATGTTATAAATTCATAAAATCCGGCTGGCCTCCTACACATTCGGCGAGGGATCGAGTACTCCGTATTTAATTTGCAAATTGCAATGCTGTACTCGTCCAACCCATTCCTTTCTGTGTCATTTTTGGTTTTCTTATTCCTAATCATACTGCTCGTTTTTGGATGCGCCTTTTACCTCTTCCTTGTCGATTTCCCGCGTGTGAGTGGAGCAGGACATTGTTTTTTATTTGTAGGAATATAGTAATACTGGTGCCCATATTCAGTGCCCTTCTTACTGACCGTACCTTTAGAAGCATGAAACAGAACAGAATCAAGGACAGGCAACGAGAAAGCCCTGAATTCTCGGTGGACAATGTGGTCATCGAAAACATTGACGTCACCGCCGGCAACACCCTCTCCTCCACCTTAAGCTTCACCCTCCACGTCAACAACCGCTACAAAAGCCGCGGCATTTACTGCGCCGCCGCCGAAGCCAAACTCTCTTTCCATTACTACAGGGACGGGTCCGGCAGCGCCTCTCTCATTCGTCCGCCTAGATGGCGGTATTATCTCGATAGTGGGACGCTTGCGTACGCCGCCATGAGCGCCGCCCCGGTCAACCTGCCGCCGGGAAACAACGTCCCGACTAGCATCCCCTTCTCTCCCAAGTCAACGAATGTGACGCTTCCCGACGACCAAGCCTCGCTCTTGATTGAATATAAGAAGAACTTGGATAGGTTCGATGCGTTCTTGACTGTGAGAGCTCTGGTTAAGAATGGCATCTCTGACGCCCGTTCTCGCTTGATTGAGGTCAACTGCTGGTCTATGACTCTCACGCCCAATTCTACACACGTGTTCACCTGTAGGTCAGTGCTCCATAAAGCCAAAATTATTTCATGGTTTAATTATCATTTTTATTATTGTTTCTTGCCAACTTACCAATTTTCATTTAAAAACACGGAGTAAATAATTTGGGAACCTCCTTGTAATGTAGACTCCCTCCACTTCTTAAATAAATTTACATTTTCCTTTTTGTACAATCCCATATTAAACTTTACATTTCCTTATTTGGCAAACAAATCTATATCAAACAGTGCAAAACAATGCCAAATAGTGCCAAACAGTGTCAAACAATGTACTATACAGTAAAGTCAAATTTATTTCCTTTATATGTGTGAAGTCAAAGTCTAAATTGCATTAAAAACCGGAGGGAGTACTAAATACGTAGCTAGTACTCTGTATAAAATACGAGTACTCCGTAAGATGTTTGTCTAACCTTTTGTTTACGATGGGTAGGGGCGGCAGCTGACGAGAGTCGAGTTAAAGAGGGTTGAAACCTTGTCAAACATGATAAAAGGAATAGCCCAAGATCTTGTCATATAGTGTTTAATTATTTTAGAGATATCCGTTGTGGACAACAACATCTCGCCTCACGATCAGACACTTCGTCTGGATCGTGTCGTCATACTTTTTTTATTGGTGTTTTGTCATTGTCATTTTTTTCATCGGTTCATTATTATCATTTTTTATAATTTGTTCGTCATTTTTTATGGGGGCCACGACATGGTTGTAGATCCTAGCTAAAAGGTCAACCTTAATAAAAAGAGTTGGTCAAAATCTTAAGGCAAAGAGTTTACGTGTTTTAGATATATTCGGTGTGAGACCAGGGCTGAACCCTCTCTTGAGGCAAAGAGGCAATTGCCTCGGGCCCCAAAAGTTTGGTAAATAATAAGGGCCCATAAAATAATTGTATTCTAATATTATATAAATACAATTTATTCTATTTTATTAAAATAACTACAATACAAATAATATCAATCAAAATAATATCACACAACTACAGTATATGAGATTAATTATTTGATATATGCATATAAATTAAATTGTTGCTTATAAATCTTAATATCCAAATTTTATACTCCCTCCATCCCATTGGACTTTGCCAACATTCCCTTTTTTGTTGTCCCAAAATTTTTTTGCCACTTTCCTATTAAAACAACTAATTTGTGGTTCTGCACATTTTTCTCTCCTCTACACAAAATCTCAACCACATAGTTTTAACTATTCTTATTTCTCACTTACTTTGCACTTGTCAAAGTCTACCGGAACGGAGGTATGTAGTATTATTCAAAGATCTTTTACAAAAATTAGACTCAGAGCCTAAAAAATGTTGGGATCGACCCTGTGTGAGACAACAATAAACTTCCTCTATGAAGTTTAGAAATAAATATAAAACTATGAAGTAAAATTATTTTGTCTTAAGCTTTTTCTTGAGCTTAAAGTCGGCTTAATTTTTGAATATCTTAAGGCCGCCGGCATGTAGTTACGTTGCATTTTACTACGTAGTATATACTATCTTCATTCTTTTTTAGTTGCAACGATCAACATTTCACATTTGTCAACGGACATCTTTGACCGTAATTATATCTTAATTCTATTAGTAAAAAAATATTAAAAATCAGATTTTGAAAATTTGTAATGAGATGAATCGAAGAATATTTTTTAAAAAAAAATAATTTTCATAAAATAATAACGTAAAATGTAGTCAAAGTAGAGCATGTGAATAGTGTAAAACTCAACATGTTGCGATTAAAACGGAATGGAGGATAATATATTGGTTGTGCTTGATCAATAGATCGATCGAGTATCTTAAGTCTACTCGATCATTGATTACCTATATATATATACCTTAATTTTGTATGGCGCTATATTTACAACCTGTTTTGATTTATGTTTAATTTCCTCTTGGTGCATGTCTTGTAGTTGAAGGTTGAAACGTGGAAACTGAAGTGCATCCTATATATATACCTACTTGTTCAAATGCTTTATGGCTGGCTCTATGTATGGACATGACATGGAGTATTAGTTACTAGTTAATACTCACATCAACAAGGGCAATGAAGTCATGAAGAAATGATCTACTTATAATTAGCTTTTATACTTGGCCAAATATTTGGGTTGTTGATCTCCTTTGTATCATGCATGCACGATAGTTTTTTATTAGTGATACTCCGTATTAGTTATTATAATTAATATTCTCTTGTGTATTGCATTATATTATGCCCATATCTCCAATGTTTAAGCTTCCTTTCTTAATACCACAGATGTAACGTAACTGAGGGTGGCATTATGGCAATGGCTTCTTCAGTTCTGATCAAGTCGATCTTTACTTTGAATCATCATGATGTATTGAATATTAATATATATATAATTATGTCTCATGTCGTTAATTTTTTAAATAGTATTTTCATTATATATGGTGCTAGTAAAAGCAATATTTCCTCGATGTAAATGATGCTATGTTTTGTGGTGATAACAAAATCATTGTTCAATCCATAGTCGAATTAGTTGTATCACTTGTATGGATGTCATCAGTTTTGAGTAAGTTTGAGAGTTTGGGTGTATAATGCTTGCCGTATGAACAATAGAACGTTTGTCAAGTTTGTTCAAACATATACGTAGTACGTAGAACGTTTGATTACAAGCTATTAACATTTTTAATTAGGTTCATCATGTTGGAACGTAACAATTACTTTCTCGTTAGATTTATGTGGTTCATATTAAATTGATAAAGTAAAAAAAAGAAATAATGATTTAGAGCAATACAAACTTTACCATACCGAATACTGTTGGGATCCCTCCTTAATTGGAGAGGTTCTAGAAAATTCTAGAGCTTTCTAGAGAAGTATAGAATTTTCTAGAACGTTGTGGAGAATCCTAGAGAAGTCTAGAACTCTCTAGAAGCTTGCGGAATAATGTGGAATCCTCTGGAATATTCTAGAGATGTGTGGAACCTTCCGGAAGCTTATGGAAGAGTATGGAAGCATATGGAAGAGAATGGAGAGGTGTAGAGATTCCTTGGAATTCTCTAGAATAGGTAGTCATGTAGATCATTCTAGAAAAATATTCTCCACCACTCAATATGGAGGTGGAGTAGTATAAATAGGAGTAGGACCCTCTATTCCTAACTATCCCAATCCTAATCCTAGCAATCCTAGCAAGAGAGAATCCACTTCCTAGAGTGAGAAAGCTAGAGAGTTAGAGAGCCTCTTTGAGAGAGAAGAGAGTTAGCTTGGGAAGGTCATATCCTCAAGCTTGAGTGAGCCACCATTGAGTGAAACAATTTTGTAACATTCTTGTAAATCCTACTATTCTTTTGTATAGTGGAAGAATCTCCATATTGGAAAATTTAAACCGTGTGCTCCCATTACTACCTTATTCCTAAGTGCCTATCTTAACTTCACGAAGCGGGAAATTCCGGAGTTTTTTCCCAACAGTGGTATCAGAGCCAGGTTGATTTGAGGTCATCATTAGCTCGTGCAGTTCAAGATGGAGGATAACGTCGCCCATGATGGAGATATGTTCAAGCTCACCGCCAACAACTACTCATATTGGAAGCCCATGATGGAAGACCATTTATAATGCAAGGATTTGCATGAGCCCATCATCTACAAAGAGAAGGTTGAAGGCAAGAGTGATGCCCAATGGGAGCTACTGAATCGGAAGGCCGTTGCTATGATCCGTAAGTACATCGACAAATCCCTCTTCGAGCATGTGTCCACTTACATAAATGCTTATGAATTATGGACAAAGCTTGAGTCCATGATTCAAAAGAAAACACCTCGTAATAAAGCCAATTTATTTCGACGGTTGGTGAAGTTGGAGTATAAGGATGGTCATAGTATGATTGAACACTTGAACAATTTCAAGGGGCTCGTAAATCAATTAACCAAAATTGAGATGAAGATTGATGACGAGTTGCAAGCCCTTCTACTCCTTAGTTCCTTGCCGGAAAGTTATGACACACTCGTGGTTACGCTTAGTAACTCAGCTCCGGAAGGAAAGCTAACCATGGACACCGTCAGTGATAGTCTTCTTGGTGAAGAAGCAAGGAGAATGGAACGAGGTGAGTCTATCTATCCTGAGGCTAATGTTATTGAGAACCGGGGTAGGAATGAAACTCGTGGACGGAGTAAGAGCCGAGATCCGCAACAATCTCGAGATAGGTCCAAGTCACGCTCGAATATCATATGCTACTACTGTGGAAGAATGGGCCACAAGAAAAAGGAGTGTCGATCCTTCAAGAGCGACCAGAAGGCCAGTAACGTCAAAATAGACCCAGTCAACCCAACGAAGAAGCAAGAAGTGAAGAGTACCACTGTCGTAGTCGCAAAAGAAGATCTGTTATATCTCGTTGGAGAAGGTAATATCCTAAACATTGCTTGTGATGATAGTTCCTGGATTATCGATTCTGGTGCTTCCTTTCATGTCACTCCCCATGGAAGCTTCTTCTCATCCTACCAAAGCGGTGACTTTGGTACGGTTCAAATGGGAAACCAAGATAGGAGCAAGATCGTCGGGATAGGAGATATCGTCCTGACAACTAGCACCGGATGCAAGCTTGTTCTTAAAGATGTGAGGCATGTACTGGCCATGCGCCTCAATCTTATATCTGCTGGGAAGCTAGATGATGCTGGTCTGATGAATTACTTTGGTGAAGGAAAATGGAAGCTCACCAAAGGAAGTCTGGTCATGGCTCGAGGGAAGAAGGAAGGATCGTTGTATGTGATGCAAGCTAAGCTCTGCAAAGGAGAGGTAAATATAACCATTGATGACATGGAGGTATGGCATAAACGACTTGGCCACATCAGTGAGAAGGGCCTTCACATACTTGCTCGGAAGCAACTCCTCCCGGACGTGAAAGGTAAGTCACTTGATCCTTGTGCACATTGTTTAGCTGGAAAACAACACAGGGTTGCTTTCCAAAGATCTTCTCCACCTACTAGGAGAAAGAATATTCTCGACCTTGTACACACCGATGTGTGCTGAATGTCCGAGAAATCCATTGGCGGTGCATTGTATTTTGTGACCTTTATTGATGATCATTCAAGAAAGGTATGGTTGCACCTGTTAAAATCCAAGGATCAAGTGCTTGACGCTTTCAAGGAATTCCACGCTCTAGTAGAACGTGAGACTGGACGAAAGATCAAGTGTGTACGATCTGACAATGGAGGTGAGTATAGAGGTCACTTTGAAGCCTATTGCAAGAAATATGGCATTAGGCTAGAGAAGACTCCACCCAAGACACCACAGCTGAATGGGCTAGATGAGAGAATGAATACAACTATTGAAGAAAGAGTTCGTTGTGTGCTCTCTCATGCTAAGTTACCCAAATCCTTTTGGGGAGAAGCTATAATGGCCGTAGTTGACATTGTCAACCTCACACCATCAGTCCCTTTGAACGGTGCCATCCCAGAGGAAGTCTGGACGGGCAGAAAGGCTTCATACAATCATCTTAAGGTGTTCGGGTGCAGAGCATTTGTCCACATTCCCAAAGACGAGCGAGCTAAGCTCGATGCAAAGACGAAGGAGTGTATATATCTTCGCTCACCCAAGGATGAATTCGGCTACCGGCTATGGGATCCAAACAACAAAAAGGTTGTTCGTAGCAGAGATGTGGTGTTCTTCGAAGACCAAACAATTGAAGACATTAAAAACTCGGAGAAGCCAAGATCGAAAAGCAGCAGGAGCACCGAACCTACTCAAGTTCGATGTGAGGACACTGATCCACATCAAGACAATAATGTTGAAGACCACGAGCCTGTGTTAGAGAAAAGCAACCAGGAGACTCATGATGAATCAAATCAGGAAGATCCTCAATCTAGTTCTCTGCCAGCACCAGAGCTGAGGCGATCTTCAAGGGAGAGAAGACCATCCACTCGGTACAACACCGAGGAGTACGTGATGCTCACGGATGAGGGGGAGCCACAAAGCTATAAAGAAGCAATCTGTGATGTTCATAAGGAAGAGTGGAGAAGAGCCATGCAAGAAGAGATGCAATCCTTGCATGAGAATCACACTTATGAACTTGTGGAGCTGCCAAAAGGGAGAAGAGCCTTGAAGAATAAATGGGTGTATCGAATCAAGACCGAAGACAATAGCTCAAAGCCTCGTTACAAAGCTCGATTGGTTGTCAAAGGATTCGGTCAAGAAAAAGGCATCGACTTTGAGGAAATATTCTCTCCTGTGGTAAAGATGTCATCCATCTGAGTTGTTCTTGGCCTAGCAGCGGCACAAGATTTGGAGATTGAACAACTCGATGTCAAGACAACGTTCCTTCACGGCGACCTAGAGGAAGAGATCTACATGGAGCAGCCCGAAGGGTTCAAAGTTCCGGGCAAGGAAAACCTAGTATGTCGCTTCATGAAGAGTCTATATGGCCTCAAACAAGCACCGAGACAGTGGTACAAGAAGTTTGAGTCCTTCATGGCAGAGCATGATTTTACAAAGACAAAGAGCGATCATTGCGTCTTCATAAAGAGGTATGCAAGTGGCGACTTTCTCATACTTCTACTCTATGTTGATGATATGTTGATTGTTGGACAAGATCACGTAAAGATAGATGCTTTGAAGAAAGATCTAAGCAAGAGCTTCGCCATGAAAGATTTGGGACCGGCTAAACAAATCCTTGGGATGAGAATAACTCGTGATAGATCGAAGAGACTGTTGTGGCTATCCCAAGAGAGGTACATTGAGAAAGTGTTGGAACGGTTCAACATGAACAAATCAAAGCCGATAAACACACCACTTGCTGGACACTTCAGGTTGAGTTCGAAGCAAAGTCCCACAAGTGAGAAAGAAAAGGAGGAAATGAAGAAGATTCCATACTCATCTGTAGTAGGCAACCTCATGTATGCAATGATATGCATAAGACCAGATATCGCCTATGCAGTTGGAGTCGTTAGTCGTTTCTTGGCCAACCCTGGGAGTGAACATTGGGTAGCGGTCAAATGGATCCTCCAGTATTTACGTGGAACTTCCAAAAGATGTTTATGCTTTGGAAAAGGAAAACCTGTGTTAGAAGGATACACAGATGCAGACTTGGCCGGTGATATTGATTCAAGAAAATCAACATCGGGATACCTAACTACTTTTGCAGGGGGAGCTGTTTTCTGGCAATCAAAGCTGCAAAAGTGTGTTACATTATCCACCACAGAGGCAGAGTACATCGCAGCTACTGAAGCTTGCAAGGAGATGCTGTGGATGAAGAACATGTTGCTCGAGCTGGGAATAGATCAAGAAAGGTACGTGTTGAAGTGCGACATTCAAAGTGCAATTTACTTGGCGAAGAACTCAACATTTCATTCCCGCACG